TTTTCGCTCCAAATTCGCTCCTTTTTGCATCTTTTTGCTTTAATGACCCTAATTCATCATTCCTGCAACAAAACATCAAAAATACATTTCTTTAAAGTGCAATATCATCAAAAATAGTATAAAGTATGTATGAAAATCGCAACATATTTTCTTTTGGTCAATTGTCGAGAATGTAAGGATTGTAAATTCATTCTAAGTGAGGATTTAAGTAGTCAACATTGATTATTGGCTCTAGATTTTAAAATGAAGAGTTGTGAAATAAAGAATACTAGGAACCAAAATCGTAGAATTATTGCAAATTCTACGATTATTTTTATCACTAAATTTCAAGATTTCAAAATTTGGGATGTTCATGAAGAAGCAAATTCTATGTGAGATAAAGTAATATATACTATTAAATAAGTGACAAAAGTTTTACTTGGAGAATAAAAGAAAAAATTTCATAAATAAAAATAGTTGGTGGTGGAATAATAATGTGCAAGAAAATATAAAATATAAGAGGATATATTATAAAAATTAGTTTAAATGCAAAAGCTTAGAGAAATGTTAAAAATATCATACAGTCCATAAGGAGTTTAAGAGAACGATCTGTGACACTAAAAATTTGGCTTTCAGTGATATTTATAATAGATTAGATACTTAAGAGGGTGAAAAATATATGTATAAAATAGTCAAACAAAGAGAAAAGAAAAGTAAAGATTTAAGACAAGTAAAGTGTATTAAAGATAAAAATCAAAAAGTGCTTTTCTTAGAAAAAGATATTCAAAGTGGGTGGGTAGGTTATTTTGATAAACTTTTTAATGAAGTTCCGAAAATATGATCGAACTTAGAATATCGTTAATAATAATAAAATATTTTATTTTTATCGTCACAATAGTAAAAAAGAAGTTGAAACTTTAAAAAAAGAGAGTTTCTCGGCTTACTAAACTCTTTAATATTATTGTAAAGAATAAAGGGAATGCACAAGAGTTTGCCAATTATAGAGGAATTAAATTGATGTGTCATACTTTAAAATTATGGGAGAGGGTAATTTAACATAGGTTAAGACGTATTTCAAAGATTTCTCATAATAAATTTGGATTTATGACAGACAAGTATACTATGAAAGCTATACATTCATTGAGAGGTTTGATGGAGAAGTTCACAGATAATAAGGAAGATCTACATATCATTTTTATTAATTTAGAAAAAGCTTACCAGAAGGTTCAAAGAGATATCCATTGGAGAGTTCTTGAGAAGAAAGGTGTTGATATGACTTATATTTAAGTTATTAAGGATATGCATACATAAGTTGTTACTTTTGTTCGAACAGAAGGAGGATTGACCAAATATTTTCCTATTTCTATTGGTTACATCAGGGATCAACTTTAAGCCCATATCCTTTTGCTTTAGTTATGGATGGTCTTACTGGACACTTAAAGGAGGATGTACCTTGGTGTATGCTTTTCGCTGATGATATCCTTCTCGTGGATAAGATGAGATAAAAAGTTCATGAAACACTTGAATTATGAAGGTCTACCTTGGAGTCTAAAGGCCATCGTTTGAGTGGAACTAAAACTGAATACATTGAATGTAACTTTAGTAGTAGTAGCTCTAGTGACAAAAAATTAAATATGGGTGATCAAATTATTAAAAGGTGTGAACGCTTTAGATATCTCAGTTATACTGTTCAAAGTGATGATGATATTGATGGGGATGTTAATAATATATTTCAAGCTGGTTGGTTGAAGTGGATGAATGCTTCGGGCCTATTGTTAGACAAAAAAGTACCACTTAGACTGAAAGAAAAATTTTATAACATGGTTGTGAGACCTGCAATGCTCTATGGTGCTGCATGTTGGCCTTTAAAAGAGAATCATAAAAATAAGTTAAGTGCTGCCGATATGAGAATGATTAGGTGGATAAGAGGCTTTACACTTAGAGACAAAATGAGAAATGAATATATTCGTGACAAGGTTGGTGTAGCTCCAGTGACTAACAAAAATAAAGAGAGCTTTCTTGGATGGTTTGGTTACATTAAATGTCGACCATTTGATGATCCGATTAGAAGAGTAAATGTACTAAATTCAACTTATGTTAAGAAAGGCAGAGGTAGACCTAGGATGACTTGAGCATATTATATAAAAAATGATCTTAATTTATTAGAATTAAATGAAAATAACACTAAATAGGACGCAATGGAAAAAAAGATTCATATATCCGGCCCCACTTAATCTTAATCGGACAAAGATTTGTTATTATTGTTGTTATTAATGAAATGTCGACCATTTGATGATCCGATTAGAAGAGTAAATGTACTAAATTCAACTTATGTTAAGAAAGGCAGAGGTAGACCTAGGATGACTTGAGCATATTATATAAAAAATGATCTTAATTTATTAGAATTAAATGAAAATAACACTAAATAGGACGCAATGGAAAAAAAGATTCATATATCCGGCCCCACTTAATCTTAATCGGACAAAGATTTGTTATTATTGTTGTTATTAATGTTTATGCAATAATTTTCACATAAGTTTTTTTTTTTTCATCATCACCAATTCCTTTCACTAAAAAAAAAAAGGAGAAAAAAGTTGATTTTTTTTATAAAATAATTAGCTATATATTAAATTAATTGATACACGTAGTAAAAACCCCACGAGCCCGGGAATCTTTATTAGCTATATATTAAATTAATTGATACACGTAGTAGTCATAAAAACCCCACGAGCCCGGGAATCTTCCGCCGTCCAATCGGTAAATGGACGACTTCAACGGCTTAAATTGAATCAAGTCCTTGGGCTGGATCTCTCTTACATAAAGAAATCAGGGCCGCTTCCAGGTCGTCGACTCCTCGGCTCGAGTCATTCATCTACGGCACCAAATCTGTGGTGGGTGTTCTTGTTCGCTCGCGGCGGTGGAGAAAGGGAAGGAGAAGCGGAAACCAAGGGGGAATTCGACCATTCGAGGGCAGGAGGTTTCTTCTACGCTAGGGTTTTCTGTGGGAGAAAAGTGCAAGGCCGTCTGCGTGCTTGGGATTCAGGTTTTGTTTCCGATTTCGGAGGCATTTTAACGCGCTCTTTGTCGATTTTGTTTCGCTTCCGTGAAATCTGATTCCGGCCTTTCGGTCCGCTCCGGTGTAGGGTCTTATATCCGACGCGGAGCGCAATCAGAACTTGAATTTGGTTTCGTCCTCAGTGCTGGTTGTTTCGTATTGGCTGGTAGTTGAAGAAAACGGCGCCTCTGTGGAAGAAAGGTTCATATAGGGTTTCTTTGTTCCTTACTGTATTCTTATGGTTCCTGCTCTTTGTTAGTTGTTTGCATTGAGTGCTGCCTTTGGATACGTGTTGAATCGGGGAGCTGGTTGGAAGTTAGGGTTTTTCGTGATTGTCTAGAAGGAATTTGGTGCTACGTGGATACGTTCAAGCTATTCCGATCCCAATTGGAAAGCTGACTATTTTTGTGTCGGGTTGTTCGTGCTGCTGTGTGCAGTGGTTCTGCCTATTATTTTAAGGCTGAAGCCATTTTTTTGTTCAGCGTCGCCAAATTGCAGAAATTATTTGAAGCAGTGTATGGTAATTTTTTTCTTTCGTGGGTTGGAGCGTTGTCTTAGTATTGGAGGAGATTTATTCTGTCCGTAATCCTGGAGTGGCTGAGATAGCTATTTGTATTAGATCTTAATGACTCAGACTGTTGCCAAAGAGTGTTCTTGGTCCCGGGGGAAGGTTTCTAAGAAGGTCTCTGGGGATATTTCACTAACATTGATGGAGAAAACACACAAATTACCTAGGGTTTACTCTTCAGATTTTATCCCAGACAACAGGCATGTAGTAGAGGCTGTTGGTGAATCTGAAGGATTTGCTAGCCTTGGGCATGTTGGCTCAGAAGATTCATGTGCGCCAAACAGAAGGTGCATGAGCTTGAATGCAGAGAAGTGCGATGGTTTCTTTGTGCCCATACAAGTTATCGCATTGTCAAAGATGTCAGGTATTGAAAGAAAGGATTTGGAGATGAGGCTTAGGAGGGAGCTTGAACAGGTTCAAAGGTTTCAGAAGAAAATGCTTTCAAGCACCACATTGATGTCAAATGGAGCTGCAGTGTCTTCATCCTGTGACCCACTTGCAAAGAAGCATGATATTGCATATCAGAATGTTTCTCAGTTAAAACGTGGTGCAAGTGGTAGGTTTGAGTCTACCAAGCAGACTCCAGCACCAGCATCAGTTGCTGTGCTGATGAAACAATGTGAAACACTTCTCAAACGCCTGATGGGACATCAGTATGGTTGGGTCTTCAATAAACCTGTTGATGTGGTGAAGTTGAATATTCCAGATTATTTCACTGTTATAAAACACCCGATGGATTTGGGGACCATTCAGTCCAATCTAGCATCAGGTTTTTACACTAGTCCTCTGGATTTTGCATCTGATGTGAGGCTTACTTTCTCTAATGCAACTACATACAATCCACCTGGTAATGATGTTCATGTCATGGCTGATGCCATGAGCAAGCTCTTTGAAATGAGATGGAAGCCTATTGAGAAGAAGCTGATTGTTGCTTTTGGTGATACAAAAATAGAAACTGGAATTGCCAAGGCTTTAACAGAATCTAAGAAGAGGAAAATTCATCAGGAGGACCATAAAAATACCGTGCTTGATAGCAAGGCAAAGATGACAGATGATGAGAAGCTGAGTCTAAGTAGGCGTTTGTCGTTGATTCCTGAGTTACCGCAACATATTGTTGATTTCTTGAAGCAGCATACTGACAACGCAAACGAGAGTACGGAGGATGAGATTGAAATTGATTTTGATTCTCTTAGTGTTGACACCTTATTTGAGTTGAAGAAACTCTTGGATGACTACTCAAAACAAAATCATTCAGTTCATCAAGCAAAGGCCGAGACTTGTGAAATGGAGGTAGTTTCTCTGTATGATTTCGATATTTGAGTATCCACAGCCATTTTGCATTTGTAAGCAAGTTTTTCGTGTATTTACAGATTCTCAATGAATCTGGACTGAGCAATTCCTCTATGCATCCTTGCAAAGGTTAGACCCTTTCTTGGAATGATGGTGGCTATGTTTCTTACTTGAACAATTTAAGCTTGAAATCTTTTGTTCATATCAATATGGTTCCAGGAAATGAACCTGTTGATGAGGATGAGGATGTTGATATTGGTGGTAATGATCCTCCAACCACAAGCTATTTTCCTGTTGATGGAATTAATAATGCAGTCCCTAGAAGTAGTAGGGTTAGTAGCTCAAGTAGTTCAAGCAGCGAATCTGGATCATCTTCCAGTGGTTAGTGCTTGTTCATACCTTTTTTTCAGCTAACAATAAGTTCTTGTTTGTGCCTATTTATATCATTTTCCTTGTTTTGTGCTTGTTTATATCTTCTTTAAGCTAATAATCAGTTCTTTCATTTTGCTTTCTATGGTCCATTTCTAGTACGCAAGTCACAATAGTTGAACACAAAAGGTCTCTTTATTCTCATTATTATTTTCTACATAACTTTGATATTCATACTGCATTTATATTACTTTTTTTAGCTGGACGATTTACATACATACCTCTAAATTTTTATGTAATTATATATTTAACACCAAAACTTTAAATTTTACTTGCATAATTCCACCTGACATATTCATGAAAAGGTGTATTTAACTTTTTAAAGGTTAAAATGATGTTATTTTTGATGTGATATGAAGGATTTGGGTGACGTAAATACAAAAAACAAATTTTAGCTTTTAGATATGTTAATTCAGAGGAATTGGGTGCTATGTATGTAAATTCCCCATCCTAGCACTGAACAAAATTTAATGATAAGTGTCAGACTTCTCTGCACATAGATTGATTAGCAATACTATTTTTTGGAACCAATGTTGATTTTGATTTATGATAAGAACTATCGCTATCTAATGGAAAATTTACCATTTAATTGAAGGAGTAAATAAGCATGCTTGAGTTTGTTCATTCACACACATTCACATTTGTACTTGTACGGCTATTTGTTCTTGCTATTTTGTGAATGGATAAATTAATATTGCTTGTGTGGTTGCTTGTTTTTCGGAAGTAATCAAATGGATTCATTGTATTTGTTGATAATACATTATAAAATTGTCCCACCCCAGCTAACCTTACTCTTGGGGGTCAACGCGATACGACAGAGGCGGGTGACTAGCTCAGGCAAAATTCTTACCAACACTCGTCATGACTTGGATAATTAAGACCTGGTGAATAATAAGGTAATCTAATTGAATTGCCACAAACACACATAATACTTTTCAGTTCATAATTCGATCATATTTTCATATATGTGGAAGTGTGAAAATCTTATCACCAAAATATATCTACAAAGCTACTAAAATTAATATAATAAAAATACATACCCAAAAGTTTGCACAATCTTAAAACTATACAATGCAAAAACTATATAATATCACACCTGATAACTTGACATGATGTTATTTACCCATCATTGAACATCAACTATGTAAAAGAGTGAACTACAAGCTCAACAAAATAATCAAGGCTAAATGAATATTTTATAAACGAAAAAAAAACATACATGATCTTTTATAGCTCTTATTAATTATAGTAGAATGTATTGCAACATGCTTTAATCATATAAAAACATCTAAAGAAAAATGTGAAATGCTGTAAATCCTAACAATTGTATAAGATGTGTTTCATTCATTCATTTGCAATCATAGGCATATTCATAAGAATTTCCTAATCAATAACTTTAATCATAGTAATGTCACTTGTAATTGTATAAGTTTTGTCTACTTTCATATTATTTTATGACATTAGGTTGTCATTTAGCTTGAAAACTAAATTAACTATTGATAAATGTTGGACATCTCTCAACGTAACAATTATTAATAGTCTCTCTAGTATTAACGGTTCAGAGGTTTCCATTCCCGTTTGTTCCCAAAAGTTTTCAGATATGTTTTTGTTTGAATACCAAAAGTCGAGATTTCCGTCATTTTATATCATCCGTACTTTCAAGCATTTATATGATAGTTTACCTATCATTACACTTATAAGTTTCCTATAATCTGAACCTGTAACAAATATTTATTATGGAAAAACTGTATATCGTATGCATAAATCACATGATAGAAATTATTGCAAATGAAGATTTCATAAACATGCTCATAATATCAATATAATAAGAAAATAGTACTATTATCAATGTCAATTCAAGCTGACGTTCATGTAACTTGTGCATATGTTTGAGAATATACAAAAAGTTTTAATGCATTCATATATCAAAAGAAATCATATATAAATCATACATAAAATTTATATTTTTAATTTAACACAAGGTTATTTCATTTGAATCGATAGAACAGCCTTACGACAAGTTTACTCATGCTCGCCTCGAGCATGTCACATAGAATAAACCATCCGGAATCATAAACCCCTTGGGATTTCCATGATATTTTTACTTGTCTTGATTTAATCCTAAATATGAATCATTTGGTATTACTTACCTCGAAAGAATATTCCTAAATTACCTCCTCCTCGATATCTTTCTATTCCTTTCTTCCTTCCCTTTCCCATTGTTTTTCTGCCTTGCCTTCCTGGTAATTGTCCCTCCAAAGCAATAAACCAAAGTTCATAGTTTTCTATCACTTATTTGCCATTCCCTGGAGTGGTAGGGAAAGCCAAAGCATTTTAGCTCATGGAAGAGATTGCAAGTTTAAATAACATGAAAGTGCAGTTCCCTCGTATCGATTTTGCTCTGAAGCCCTGAATTGCCGCCTGCAGCTCGTGCGGATCATGGTTGCTGCCATTCGTGCGAACTAAGCATAGAGCTTACGGCAAAAGGGAATTTGGGAAAGGTGAAATGAAAGTGAGTGGGACACTTAACTTAGATTGATTAATTCCAGTCCTATTATTTCATCCCCAATTGCACGAGCAGATAAGTGCGGGGAAAGTCAACCTGATATAGTGTTGGAGATTAAGGTTTAATTAAGATTAGTTAAGGTTTTAATTAAGCTAATATTTCAAAACTTTATCTTACACATTTAAAATTCATACAGTTTTATATTAATTCGATTGATTCAATATATGGAATTTTTTAAAATTGATTTAGCCAAATTTTGGGGAATGCAAAAATTGGTGTATATTTTATAATAGCCAGACTTTTGTATTTTTTGGCCAAAATTGGGTAGTACAATACTTCTCTCTTTATAAAAATATCATTCTTAAAAGTTCTTAATTAGACAAAAAAAAAGTATTTTTATTGCATTTTTTTCTGATCATCCATGTAGCTTCTTTTGCAGGTTGTATCATTCTTAAAAGTTCTTAATTAGACAAAAAAAAGTATTTTTATTGCATTTTTTCCTGATCATCCATGTAGCTTCTTTTGCAGGTTGGTGCTTCCATTTTAGCTTGACATAATAAAGTTATTTGTTTCTTAATTTTTTAACATCAACTGTTAAAATTTTCTAAGGCTCTTCAATGTAAGTTAGATTTTTTTACACTTCTATATTTTCATGTGAAATCCTTTGATTTACATTTGAAACTCATTTCCTCAACATTGAAATATGAAATACATCATGAATATGTGACATATCATTAGTTAAAGCTAACATATAAGTAGTTGGATTGATCATTTCTATGATTTCAAAAGGACTAGTGTATCTGAGGCTCTTGCTTTTTTGACCAATTTTGGTTGTACTTTTCACTGGTCTTACTTTTAAGAATACAAAATATAATCTCAAATTCTACTATTTTGTGTCTTGGGTCATAATATTTATGTTTTCAATTCTGAGCAGTTTTCAATCTCTCTCTAATTAATCTGATTTTTTTGTGGCTTCATCAACCAATTGAAGACCTAACAATTGATGTTTTCTTACCTCCACCCAACGTAATGGAGTTCTGTATTTTCTGCCATACAATGCTTTATAAAGAGTCATTTCAATACTGGACTAATAACTATTGTTATTGGCGAACTCAATCATCGGTACATGATCTTCCCAACTGCCTCCATCTTCGAGGGCACAAAACCTCAATAAATCTTTTAATACCTAAATTATCCTTTGACTGTCCATCGGTTTGTGGATGGAAAGTTGTGCTAAGATGTAAATGTGTACCTATTTTTTTTCTAAATAACTTTCTATAATCTAGACGTGAATCTACCATCTATGTCAGAAACGTTAAACTTTGGAACAATATGCAATCTGATATCTTTTGACGTACACTCTCACCAATTTTTTAAGTGAAGCTGTCCCTTAGTTGGCAATAAATGAGCTGATTTTGTCAACCTATCAACAATTACTCGAATGATATCATGTTCTTGCCTGAATCTAGAAATTCTTATAACGAAATCTATCATAATTTTTTTCTCATTTCTATTCAGGTATATGCAATGATTGTAGCAATCCACTAGATCTCTGATGCGCATCTTTTACAATGTAATAATCTGACGTTTATACACATATTCCGCGACATCTTTCTTCATAATTGACCTCCCTAACATCAGTTTCAAATTTTTATACATTTTGGTTCGGCTTGGATAAATTGTGTACCTTGAATGATGAGCTTCATGTAAGATTCTCAGTCTTAAATTGTAATCAGCAGGTACTCAAACTTGTAGCTTGTTTTTTATATTGTCATTTTCATTTTCAGTCATATTCTCTCCTGATTGAAGTAGTTTTGAATATTCACTGTTAACTTTCGGAGTTGTTTTATTTATGTTTATTGAAGTTGGTTGCATCATTAACTGATGTAAATATCCAATATCGCTTGCTATTCTGACTTTCAACAACAAGACCATTTTTTTTTAATCAATTCTAGTTAATGAGTAACAACTAAGCTTGCCTTGCATGTGGATTTATGGTTCAAAGCATCAACAACTACATTTGCTTGACCAGGACAATAATGTATATCTAGATCGATAAGCTCTTGCAATCTTCTCTGCATGAAATTCAGCTTTTTAGGTAAGAATGCATTTCAAACTCTGATAATAAATGAACACTTCACGATTCATCCCTAATTTGCTATTTGCATTGAAATCACTTCCCAAAGGCAATTATAACACTAAAGACATGAGTAAAGTGCATAATATCAACAGATAAACTAGAAGGAAACTCTTCAGAAATGAAAGAATGTGGTGCACCTGGATCAAGTAAAACTTTGTCATATTGATTTAAAATCAGAAGTATTCATGTAACCACTTCTTCAAATTCTTTAGCTTCTCGAGGGGTAATTGCAAAAAGCTCTAGCCCTCATTATTTGCTCATTTTAGCGCTTCGAACTTTTACCCTTTGCTTGAGTTGAAAGTTTTC